AGAGAGAGAAAATGAATAGTAGAAATGAACATTCAATATCCGTAAAATAGCATTACTGAGATAGGTTTTGGGTTCTTAGCACTGGCTCAGTATCTATCACAAAAAGGAGCATCTAGTATCTAGGAAATAAATGAATCATAGACAGGGTACATCTTGTTAACAAATCTTTACATCTACCCTCCCAAAACACTAAGAGGTATTTTTGATAAGATATGTGGTGTTGAATTACAGCTTACCTGAATCTTTACACCAAAAAAAAGCTTTTCACGTGAGGCATCAAGAGCTTTTTCGGCATCTTCTGGCTTCTTAAAGCAGACAACAGCAAAGCGGTCATTGCCAGAGCCCAGCAAGCGCACAGCCATTACCTTCCCATGTTTCTTGTAGTCATGGAATAACCCTTCCCGTAAAGAAGTTTCTGAAAAAAATATTGAAATGGATAATGATCATTTCAAAGACTCCCTCTCTCCCCTCACTATTACTACTACTACTACAATTCAATATGCAGCATTTACAGAAAAAATTTAAAATCAAATATGATGACATGGGGTAACAGAAGTGTACAAATATTTCTTACCAGTTGACCAAGGTGGTAAATTTCTCACACAGATGGCTACTGGTCTCTTTTCTTCCTGCGGGGAACCAAGTCCCCCAACAGTAGCCAACATTCCTGTGCTTGAGATACCTGCAGCAGTCACTCTTCCAGGAGATGGTGTCCGTGAACTGCTGGAGGTAGAGCGGCTACTACTGCTGCTGCTGCTGCTACTACTGCTGCTTCTACTTGACGACCGGGATTCCGAACCAGATCTACTGGCATGTCGCCTCTTGCCCATATTACCACTGCCAGCAGGTATTCTTGAGGGCCGAGGAGCAGCAGAGCGTTGGAGGGGAGGTGAAGCGGGGGCAGGTGGCACAACCCCTCTCCGTACCACCACCTTTTCTTCAACATAAGGGTCTTGGTGTGGATACCGATACTGGGTATTTCCCCATCGATAGTCTCCCTGGTCTGGTCGTCCACTACCATAGGGCCCTCTTGAATATAATCGTAACCGACCTCTACTAGTGAAGTCTTGATCACGGTCATTTGGGTAAACTCGACGCATTCCTGGAGGCCCAACTCCAGGTCCATTATACCCTAAACTTTCATCTCGTCTACCTTCGTAAAAATGACTAGAGCGTTCATACCCACTGTGGTCCTCAGACAACCTGAAAAGAAAATGCCAAATTTTAATAAATATTTCCCAAAACAATGGAGAAAAATTCTGATTCATTATCTAATAAAAATTAACTACAATTATCATTAGTTAAATATCTTATCTATATCTTTTGGATAAGGTAACATTTGATACCCAAAGTAAGCACAATCAAAATTACAAAAACATATCTGATATGTGTGTGACAATGTACAAACACATTTAGCACTAATTAATATCCTGCCAGTCAAGAGTACTTAGCCGAAAAAAAAGTAAATATGTATATGTGTGTATATATGTATGTATGTATGTGTGTATATATATGTATATATATATATATATATATATGTATATATTATATATATATATACACACATTTATAGAGCTACATTATCTTGGGAAATAAGATACATATGTAACACTGCATGAAAATATTTGATATCTCAGTTCTGCTCTAAAATCTTTTGCTTTTATTTTATTTGGGTACTCATACTTTTTTGGATTATGTATGCATGATAATGCTGCTTTGTATTTTTTTGTGGAGACAATTCAAGTTTTTTATTCCACACGCTTCACTTTTAACATGCGAGTTTCTACATATCAATATTCCATTTTGCTATTTCATGCATACACATAAATGCTTCTTATTGTCATTTATGTAAGAATGCTATATGGAGACTACAATGTAAATGATAGAAAGACTAATCACTTTTCAAAACTAATAGCAGGTTCAGCTGTGGTAGAGTTCACAGTAGGTGTTGAGATGATTTCCAGAGAAATTGCTTAAATAATTTTCAGCAAATGTCTGACATCAACGTACTAAAACACTTTTTTACCTAAAAATGGTCTAAGCTTTATAAAACAGTGAATACTATAAAAAAAAAAAAAAAAAAAGTTAACACAAACCTACATATACTTTCTATTGCTATATCCATTATATTTTTCTTTTCCAAATCATTTAAACTGTCAAGAGACCATGACCTGATGTGATTCCCAGAAGTGCACTGTTATTGATTTCAGGATCATGACTGACACTGATTGCACCAGATGCATTCACTTTAAATAATCTGTAATGTTAACAGTCATGAGAAAAAAAGTAAATTGATATACATATAAAGAAGAAAAAAGTAAATACATGCACACCACAATGTCATTTACAGTGCACCAGCAAATTTAGATTTTGATGTAAGCCATCTTGTCCACTGAACTTTCATTTCAAAATTAAATCTTAATTGAGTGCCATCACTAATTTTACAGGTTTCTAGCTTTTTTGTTTATCTAAAAAATGTAATTATTGAAGCAAAGACTACAAGGCATATAATAGAACATTTATATTACTAGTACTTGATATAAACTTAACCAAGTTACTGTAACATTATCATTAAATGATGTTGGAAGACAGAATTACAGGTATGTGGCTCATATGTAATGATAATGAGATGTTACTAAGAGTTAGATATTTTTTGCTTTTCAGGCCAATATATTGTCAGTTTTAATTTATTTAAAATATTGTAAACTCATACAAGTTGAAGTACAGATTGAAAACAGACATTAAATATTCACATTAAGCAGATATGCAAAGACTAAAGACAATCTCTAACAAACCACATAAAAAGGTCATCAATTAAACATCATTTATTTAAGTGGTTGCTGAATACTATTCCACTCAGACTGGGTTCATAAAGTGAAATAATCAAAATAATAAAGTAGATGGTCAGAACGAATCTCCACCAGCAGTAGCAAATATTTTCAAAAGAAAACAAAGTTTCTAGCAGACCGATTTCTAGGATGAATCACAAGGGAAATTAATTCTACAACATGTAAACTGTTTTATGTCTCCTCAGTAAACTGTCTTCTAACATTGTCTCTTTTCCTGCCTGCTTGTAATATTTGGAACTGTCACCATGTGAAATCAGTCAGACTTTCCTTTGCTCAGATCATGAAAAGATGGATTATTTTTCTTGTTCAACACAGCCATACTGCTTATTACACATATAAAATGCAATATGTTGCTTACAGCCTAATTGGATATTAGATCCATTCATGAAACCTGGTCAGGTCACTACCTAATACCAAACCACAAGTCTCTGGGCCATGACCAACTCACCCCTTATGTTTTCATATACCCTGCATGTTAATTTTGTGTGTAATACTTCTGACAAGAGTAATGCCTATACCAACATCAAATATTTTATTGTATCAAATACGTAGTTTCAGATAAATGTAAAGCCAAAAATACAATGTAAAGATAGAAATGTATGGACAGGATATAAATTTCTTTGTTTCTTTTCCTTGTTTGTGTGAGTGAATGTTGTAAAATGCCTGTCTATATGGACTTCTCACAATTCACTGCCGATTCAGTTGAAACAACATATAAGTCAAACTATCTTCCAACCCCTCCCAATCTTCTAGCAGTAGAACTTCACATGTCTCAGTATCTGCATTTTATGTAAATGCATGTCAGATGTCTGACTATGTTCCCATGTCATTTAGAAAACTCTGATAACCATACCGGAAATATAATTGAAAAGATAACAGAAAATCTTATAATGAGAAAGCAGTCCAGTAACAGTGATATTCTTTACTAAAATAGAGCAAGTCATGATGGCCCAAGTTGGCAAAGTAAACAAAACTTAACCTTATGCAACTCAGTGATATTGTGAGTACATCAGTAACACTGATCCCACTAACCACATGGTCTTAGATACCCTTCTAATCACCAAAACAAAGATGGCTAATTTATTTAAATGAAAATCTGATATAATTACATCACTGAGGACCATTTGACATTGCTGCAGCAGAAAACTGATAAAACAAACACCATAAATTCCTTAATGGCAATCATGCAAACCTACCCATGATTTGCCTTTCACACTTTTTGCTCATTTTGGAAGGGTTAAAATGAAAGGAACCCTCTTTCTCCTTGGACATTCTATTCTAGGGGCAGAAGCTCAATGCTTATGAAAACAGACCAGGTCTTATAATAGATGCAAAAATAGTGAAACAAATGTAAAGTGAGACTTTACAATGGACCACAACATAGCCTAGATGGGACACAATTATTAAGTCATAAGGTCATGATGGATTCTTGGAAAAATATCAACTAATGCCTACTTATGCTACCATTTTCAAATTTTATCTGCTATTCAGGATATAATTCTTCAAAAGTTCTAAGCTCATCCATCCTGCTCACAGTTTACATCATCACTCCCTAGACTTTATGTGCAAAACCTCACAAATAAATGACAAGTAAAATAAATACAAAATGGAAAGAAAACATTAATCATTTCATTTTTGTTCCCTGACATGCTATCTATAAGAATTATGAAACTGAATGCACACTCAGATTATCACAAAATAATGTCTTGTATGAAACAAATACTATACACTCATGCAACCACTGCTGACAAGTATTAAAAAATGGTGGTGGGAGTATGAGTATACACATATACATATACATATGTATATATACATATACATATATACATATATACATGTACATATATATATATATATATATATATATATATATATATATATATACATATACATTCATATAAATACATATATGTTCATATATATACACATACATTCATATATAAACACATACATTCATATATATACACATACATTCATATATATACACATACATTCATAAATATACATATACATACATATATATACATGCATATACATGCATACATATGCATATATATTCATCTATATATACATATATAGACACATGAATATATATACATATGTATACACATCCATATATAAGCATATATATACACATGCATATATATACACAGGCATATATATACATATATATACACATATATATATACATACACATACACATATACACCTATATACATATATAAACATGTATACATCTATATACACATGTACATACATGTACACATATATTAATATTTATATGTTTAGACAAACATATATCAACATTTACATGTATAGACACTCACATATATTAATATTTACTACATGTATAGACACACACATATATCAACATTTACATGTATAGACACATACATACATCCACATACACATATATACACATACATGTGTATATGCATCTACATACATATATGCATACATACATGTGTATATGCATTCCAATACTATGCATCTACATACATGTGTATATGCATCTACATACATGTGTATATGCATCTACATACATGTGTATATGCATATGTGTATATGCACATACATGTGTATATGCATCTACATACATATGCATCTACATACATATGCATCTACATACATGTGTATATGCATCTACATACATATGTATATACATTTCATACATATACATATACTACATTATACATATATTACATATATGTGCATATACATTACATATACATACATGTGCATATACTTACATATATTCATACATGTGCATATACTTACATATATTCATACATGTGTACATATATTCATACATGTGCATATACTTACATATATTTCATACATGTGCATATACTTACATATATTCATACATGTGCATATACTTACATATATTCATACATGTGCATATACTTACATATACATGTGCATACTTACATATAATACATGTGCATATACTTCATACATGTGCATATACTTACATATATTATACATGTGCATATACATATATTCATACATGTGCATATACTTACATATACATACATGCATATACTTCATATATTCATACATGTGCATATACTTACATATATTCATACATGTGCATATACTTACATATATTCATACATGTGATATACACATACTATATTCATATTGTGCATACTTACATATATTCATACATGTGCATATACTTATACACATATACTTACATATATTCATACATGTGCATTATACATTGCATATTACATATATTCATACATGTGCATATACTTACATATATTCATACATGTGCATATACTTACATATATTCATACATGTGCATATACTTACATATATTATACATGTGCACATATACATATATTC